AGCCCGGCCAGAGCCCCTCACCCCACAGTGAGCCCGACCAGAGCCCCTCACCCCACAGCAGCCCGGCCAGAGCCCCCCCCCAGCTGATTGCTGTGTCCCAGGCGGCCAGGGCAGACGGGGTCTTGCTGAGCCAGAGGTGGGGGACACGCATGCAGACGGCATGTCGCGGGCGCTCCCCTGGACTTTGACTCCAAGTTGCTTTATTACTGAGGGGGCTGGCAGGGTGGCAGCGGGGGGCCCTCGGCGTCTCTCCCTCCCTCACGGCGAGGCACTGGCGGGAGTGTGACTGCGTGAGGAGGCCGAGAGCCGCTGGTTCTGCGCGGGCACCGGGCTCGCCTGGCCGTGGGAGCTCCTGCTGCTGTTGCTGCCGGGTGCCCCCGGGATGAGGGGTCTGCGGGCGAACAGGACACCTGTGGGAGCAGAGAGACACAGGGTGACCCAGCACGCCCCCGAGGGCACCGCAGAGCCCAAGGCATGGGGATCGGGCACCCTGCCTGACACCCCGGGGCACGGCTCACTCCTGCTGCCCACTGGCCGGGAGCCCAAGGCCTGCAGCGGGTGGCCACTCTGTGAGCCTGCCCACGAGCCCTGGTTTCCCGCCTGGAGCACAGGGCTAGCCCCAGCCGTGCGGGACGGGAGGGGGTCTGTGTGGGAGCCAGTGGGCACAGGGACAAGGCAGCAGCCAGGCCAGAGGCGCTGTGGGGAGGTGGAGGTGGAGCTGTTGCCTTCGTTTAGGGTTATCATTGACTGTCGCCCTCGGGTCCCAGCAGAGCTCAAGGCCCCGCTGTGGCAGGTGCTGCACAGACACAGGGCCAGGGCCAGTCCCTGTCTGGCCCAGCTGGCCACCCCCACACCAGGAAGGGTGGCAGGGGTGCCAGGCCCAGAGAAGGGAGGGGACTGGACCAGGGTCACCTAACTAGGCAGTGGTAGCGCTGGGGATAGAACCCAGGTCTCCTGGCACCCAGGCCGCTCCCATGGGCAAAGCCCTCGCTGGTGCTACTCCGCCGACTCCCCGCTTGGCCCAGCTGGGCAGCTGAGCAGGGCCCACACGAGCCCATCACGGGTCAGGGAAAAGCAGAGCCGTGGGCTCTGGGGAGAGCCCTGGACTCCTGGCAGGTGCCCGCTACAGCCTCTCACTCCGCCCGTCGTAGCCGGGCTCGGGAACCCGGCTGCAATAGCCAGTGTGCACGTGTGGGGAAAACCCACCTTGCCACCTCACCGGCAGCCACCGCTGGCATCAGCACCCGGAGGAGAGGAGCTGGGGGCAGCTGCCGGCCAGCGTCAGAGGCACGTGTGAGCTGCGAGGAGCTCGGGCCGGGGGCCCGCAGCCCACGTCGGGTGTGGCAGGCTTTCACCGGGATCTAGGCAGGGAGGGATCGGCATGAAGCCAGGACCTTTCTCCTGACCTGTCCCTTTGCTCAGGCGACTTCTCCCTGCCTGGCGCGAGAGCCTGGCTGCAGAGGTTTCTCCTGCCCGGCCTCTGCCTCTGATTTCTCCCTAGTGCCGGGCGCCCGGGCCCGGCCTGGAGGCGAGGCGCCGTGGGGGACAGCTGGGGTGTCAGGCCGGCAGGCTCCTCAAGGCAGCCGAAGGATGGTACAGACACAGGGCTGTTATCGGCCCTGACCTTTCCGGATAGTTAAATATTTAACTGCTTTCTATTTTAATTGGGGCAGCTCAGCATGGCTAGGAGGCATCTCCAGGGGGCAGCGGGGTGACCCACTTAGCCAAAGCGGGAACGCACACTTAAAGGGACAGGCCCCAGGTTGTAGGAAACCTTCCCAGCCACTCCCAGAGGGGCTCTCAGCCCAGGGGCTGTCACTGCTCTGCTCAGAGACGGAGCCTTGATCCGTTGCAGGGCATGAGCCGGAACAGGGTGGGAGACTCCGGAGCATCCCGGCTCCCTGTTGAACTCCGAGCCCTCGGCTCGTGGCACAGATCTGTCCCCGCCTGCATCTCTGCTCCCAGCCACGCATGAGAACATGAGAACGGCCATCCTGGGGCAGACCAATGGTCCATCCAGCCCAGGATCGTTGGCCGCCAGTGGCCGGGGCCAGGTGCTTCACAGGGAATGAACAGAGCAGGGCAATTTAAGGAGTGATCCATCCCCTGTCATCCACTCCCACCTTCTGGCAGTCAGAGGCTAGGGACACCCAGAGCAGGGGGTTGCAGCCCTGCCCATCCTGGCCAATAGCCATTGCTGGACCTGTCCTCCATGAACTTATCTAGTTCCTTTTAGAACCCAGTTATACTTTTGGCCTTCACAGCATCCTCTGGCAAGGAGTTCCACAGGTTGACTGTGTGTTGTGTGAAGAAATACTTCCTTGTGTTTGTTTTAACCATGCGGCCTATTCATTTCATTGGGTGTCCCCTGGGTCCTGTGTTATGTGAAGGGGTAAATAACACTATGACCCTCAGCAAAAGCGTTTGTACCAGCACTTGTATGGCACCCATTGCTGCAGTGTCTGGACACGCTAGATGTGGTTTAGATTAAAGGCCGGGGATTTAACAGTGAAATACACCCCTGTGCAGAGCGGCTGATGCCCCTTGGGGTGCCGGTGATGTCTGGGGTGCGTAGCCCTTCTGCCAGCCCACTGCCATGAGAGACACTTTGCCAGCGGCTTTCATGGATGGACGTTTGTGGACCGTTGAGATTCAGGGATCTCGGTTCCATTCCTGGCTCTGGAAGGTGAGTTCTCCAGCGGGCACGCGCAGGGGAGCCGCCGTCCACCGCCTTGGCTGCAGCATAAGTCCGTCCATCTGTCCGTGCCAGTCCCCCTGGCTGTGCAGTGAGTCCCCACCCCCACGCTATGGCCAACGGATCCTGCAGTAATTAAAGCCCAGGCCTCCAGTGCTGCTCCCCACTCTGCCCGCCCAGCGCCCTCCACCACCGAATCGACTGCGGCTCACCAGGGCAATCTACAGCTCTGTCTCCCCGCCCCCGCCTGCCCGGCATCGGCCCTGCCACTTCATTACAATGGATTTTATAGTAAAGACATCAGATTGAAGGAAAGACTCGCCGGCCGGGCAGTGGCTATAAATTATTGGATTTCCTGGCCGCAATTACATGGGCCGAGCAGCCCTTCTATTTACCTGTGTAGACAACTCCATTTATTTCTATTGACATGTTGATGCTGCTAATGCCGCTGGTGGACAGGTTCAATGCGGTCTCCTGTCTGTCATCTGGGGGAAAGGAAAGACCGATATGAGCATTAAGAGAAACAGAAACGAGACAGGCCTGCCTGGGAAACACAGCTAGTGGGATGGGCCCCCCACCCGCTCCAGCCAGCTGGCTAACCCCGTTGCCTCTCCGGGTTAGCAACTGGGATGTTTTCCTCCCCGGTTTCGGTGGGGCAGAGGCAGAGGGTGGGATCTCGCAGGGCCTGGCTGGAGGAGCAATTCCCATCACTCCCCGTGGCTGCCGCGTCTGTTGGAAGGGAGAGTCTCGTCATGGCCTTGGGCACAAAGTCACGTGGTGCCGCCTCGCATGATAACGTCCTGGTGTCACCAGGCAACAGCGATAGGGTTTGACAGGGTCCCCCAAAAGTGACATCCCATGAGCAGCACCAGTGGGACGCAAGATCTGGTCATCACAGTCCGCCCCCTATCCATCCATCTCTACCTCTCCACTTTTCATACGTACTCCTCTCGCTGTCCATCGATATGTACCCATCTATCTGCCCATCCATCCAGCTATAGGTACCCCTCTGCCTACATCCCTAGTCATTCATTGGTATGTCCTCCCTACTTCCTCATCTATACGTACCCTGATCCATCCATCCCTCCATCCATCAGTCCATCCCTCCACCCATCAGTCCATCCCCACACACCCCCTTCCATCCATCCATTCCTCTGTCCATCAGTCCATCCACCCATCCCCACATGCCCCCTTAGATCCATCCATCCATCCCCACATGCCCCCATCCATCCATCCATCTATGCATCCATTCCCACATGCCCCCTTCTGTCCATCCATCCCCACATGCCCCCATCCATCCATCCATCCATCCATCCATCCATCCATTCATCCATCCATCCCCACATGCCAACATCCATCTATGCATCCATCCCCACATGCCCCCTTCTGTCCATCCATCCCCACATGCCCCCTTCTGTCCATCCATCCAGCTATAGGTACCCCTCTGCCTCCCTCCGTAGCCATTCATTGGTGGGTCCTCCTTACCTCCTCATCTATACGTACCCTCATCCATCCAGCTATAAGTACCCCTCTGTCTGTCTGTCTACCTTACCCAGACCCGAAGAAGAGCTCTATGTAGCTCAAAAGTTTGTCTGTTTCACCAACAGAAGTTGGTCCAATAAAAGATATCACCTCCCGCACCTTGTCTCTCTGTCTCTCTCCATCTGGTCATAACCCCTATCTAGCTTGCTGTCTCTACATCGCCCCTACCCCTCGATACAACATACGTACTGTACCTCTCTGTCTATCCACCCACATGTATCCCGCTCGTTCTAGATCAGATGTTCCCCTCTGGCGAATCCATCGGGGGGTTGGATTGTGCCCACCCCCATGATGCCGGATCACAGGGAGGCCCCCGCCCCATCCCTCTGCTCTAGACCGGCATGTTCGCAGGTTCTCATTAGCCCCTGGGATGGGGGGAGGGGCGTGCCAGCAGTTGTGCTGTGGCTGGTACCTGCAGCGACATTACACAGTATGAGCCCCATGAAAACCCGGCTTGTTTCCCACCCGGCTGGCCGAGCGCAGGGTCAGACAGCCCACGGCCGAGCGGCGTGGGTGTGACTAGATGAGCGGCTCTGACTGAATCTGTCCCTTCCAGGGAAGGGCTGGACTGCGTCCGCTCAGCCGGTCTCCACTGCACTCCCCCCTTCGAGCTCCAGCCCTCTCTCCACAGCTGCATGCCCCCCCCCCCCCCGCAGAGCGACATACTCCAGGAAGAGCATCTCTCCCGGAGGGATCCTGCTGGGACTCCAGGCAAACAAACCCACTGTCCCTAAACACCATGCAGGGCTGCTGGGTCAATAGTGACTCGCCCGTACGGCCTGGGTCCCCCCTCCACGCAATGAGCAGCCCCGATCCTGCTTAGCTTCAAACTCAGGAGCACGTCACAGCCCATGACGGTGGGGCTGTACAGGCAGTGACAATGCGCCAGCCAGTGAGGCTATGATGCCTGCTACTGCCCCTCCCGCTCCATCCATCCCGCCCCTGCCCCTCCCGCCCCTGCCCCCGCCCCTCCCCCTCCATCCATCCCGCCCCTGCCCCTCCTGCCCC